TATATATATATATATATATATATATATAGTTGGGTAGCTAGTTGGGTAGCTAGTTGGGTAGATATATATACACGTAGCTAGTTGGGTAGCTAGGTAGGTAGATGGGGGTTGGGTTGGTTGGCTAGGTAGCTAGCTAGCTAGTTAATCAGATATGTATGGACTTCGCCAACCACAGCTAGGTAGCTAGCTAGTTAATGGGTAGTTAGTCTGTCTCCTCCTGCTGTCTCCTTTTGTGTCTCCTTATGTGTCTCCTTGTCTCCTTTTGTTGTCTCTTTTTGTTGTGTAGGTCCGATGGAATCGTTGCCTGTCTCTTAGTACAATAAAAGATTTGCTGCATGCAGCCTATCCTCGTCAATATCGTGTTAGCAGCAGCAGCAGCAGCAGCAGCAGCAGCAGCAGTATATTTGAGGCAGAGGAGGCATGGGTGTCTCCTCGTGCTGCTGCCTTCTTCTCTAATCATTTTGTTGGTGCTCAGGTGTATCTACAGAGGGCACCAAGACTAAGGGGACTGCAGGCTGCTCATCAGCTCTTTGATGATTGGAGGAAGGGAGTCAAGAAACGTTCTGCTGCTGCTCCTGCTGCTCCTGCTGCTGCAGGAAGCGCAGCAGCAACAGCAGCAGAAGGTGCAACAGGAGGAGACCAAAGCAGCAAGATGCAGACATGCGAGACAGACGAGGGTTCTGCGTCTCCTGTATCAACAGAAGACGACAGCAGCAGCAGCAGCAGCAGCAGCAGTAGCAGCAGCAGCAGCAGCAGTATAAATAGTTGTGGTAGTATAATACGTTTTTGTGTAATTGTCTCCGAAGTGTCTCCTCTGGATACGAACGATCCCAGGGAGTTGCTGCCTATTGCTGCAGCAGCAGCAATAGATCTACAGTCTCTTGCTGATGCATTCAATGCACAAGCAGCAAAAGGACCAGAGGAGACACCAACTGTTGCTTGTAAGCAATTGTCTCCTCCTCCTCCTGCTGATGCTGATGGTTGCTGCTGCTGTTGCTGCTGTTTGCATGCTTTGTCTGTATCTCCTGTTTGTGGTGTATATGTGTGCTGTTGTTGCATGCAGCTGCTCTATTAACTGGGGGTGTTGCTGCAGCAGCAGCAGCAGCAGCAGCAGTATCTGGTGGAGGTAGTTCTGCTGCTGAATTGCATGCAGAGGGACGATTAATGGGTATAAAAGAAGTTGTATTTATAAGGAGTCCCCCTGTTGTATTTGTTTATGATTTAGTAGAGGCAGGACGTCAGGTGTATAGGCAGCTATGCTTCTCTTCTTCCTTACGTAATTCCTTTGATTGCTGCAGTACTAAGAGACTGTCTCCTCCATCAGAGGAGACACCTAATGAGGGACCTGAGCTAGCAATAGGGTCTATATATACAACACCTGATCTAGGTCTATCTACTCCTGATGAGATAGCAGCAGCAGCAGCTGCTGCTGCTGCTGCAACAGGAGGGAGGGAAGATGCAGCAGCAGCTGCTGCTGCAGCAGCAGCACAAGTTGCATCTACCAGGGAAGGAGGACTACAACTTTCTTCTTCCTCCTCTGATGCTAAGGGTCTTATTAATGCCCCTTCTCTTGTTATAGCAAGACGGAGGGGCCCCGGGGGCCCCCGTGAGGTGTATGTACCCTCTAGGCATCTACGGGTACGTTAAGCAGTTGGAGACAAAAAGAATTATTTCTCCTTTTTTCTTGTGTGTCCTTTTTGTAGTAACACAGACGTGGCGATGGTGGGGTTGTTGGGATCGTGTTGGGATCGATTGTGGGTTTGTTGGGATCGAGTGTGGGGTTGTTGGGATCGTTCGATCCCCGTTGTCCTCATTAACTCCCGCTGCAGCAGGAGGATAATATATTGTTCATTGTTGGTGTCTCCTTTTGTCTCCTTAGGGTCTAATTCCCTTTTGCCTATTGGAGGACTATGAGTTCTGGGTATGTGACGAACTGTCTCTTATTACTGGTTACCAGCGTCCCCATGCTGCAGCAAGAAGCCGCTGTCCCTTCCGGCTGTATATACACCTTATTTATACAGCAGAAGGAGGAGGATTATCTGCAGAGGCTAGTGCTGTTATTCGTCGTGTAGCACTAAAGGATAAGAAGCAGCAGCAAGTATTAAATTCTGCTGCTGATGGTCCCTTCAGCAGCAGCAGCAGCAGCAACAGCAGCAGCAACATAAGTAGCACCTCCAGCAGCATAACCAGCAGCAGCAGCAGCACCAGCATCAACAACAACAGCAACAGCAGAAGCAGCAGGAGTTATCATGATGATGAGGAGGATCCAAGTATAGAAGAGGAGACACTTATTAATCTCCTTCTTGCCCCTGAGGTGTCTCCTCTTGGCTATCTAAGAGACAGTCTCCTTCGTGTTGAGTCTCTTAGTCATATACTTGTATGGACAAAAGCACCAAGGAGACCAAGGGGACCATTAGATATAGATGCTCTTTCTTCTCATCAAGGAACTGTTGATGCTATTGAGCTACCCAGGTACCTTCCTTGTCCAGCTGCTTCTGCTGCTGCTGCTGTTGCTGCTGTTGCTGTTGCTGCAGTGACATTCCTGTTGCTGCTTCTGCTGCTGCTGTAGTTATTATATCTGCCTATACACCCGAACTAAGTAGATTCTCTAAGTGTCTATCTATCTGTCTCCTTTTGTGTGTATACAGACTAGGTGTCTCCTTCAAGGCTGTACGGTTACCACAGCGTCAGTCCAGCTCCCAGCAGCAGCAGCAGCAGCAGCAACAGCAGCAGCAGCAGCAGCAGCAGCAGCAGCAAGTAAAATTATTATGTGAGCAGCATGCTGGTTTATTCTTAGCAACAGGAGACATATTAAGGTCTCCTTTTGCTCGTCGTATATTAGAGGGACTACCTGTCTCCTTGTTGCTATCTAATGACGAAGGAGACCTATTCCTTCTTATTGCTGCACATAATAAACCTATTCGTCTCCTTTCTTATCCATTTATTAAACATTTATTATTAGGTAATCATGAACAATTTATATCTCCTTCTTCTTCTTCTTCCTCTTCTTCTTCTGCTTCTTCTGGTGGTCCTGCTGCTGCTGCTGCTCCATCACCTGTTGCTGTTGCTGCAGCAGCAGCAGCTAAAGCTGCTTCTGTTGCTGGGGCTGCTGCTGTGCATGCACTTAATCCATGGGCTGCTGCACAAAAACAAAAAGAAGCTGATCAACGATTACTACTACAGGCTGACCTGGTAAATCAGGGTTTAGGGTTTAGGGTTTAGGGTTTAGGGTTTATTGCTGCTGTCTCTTCCTTCATACGAGGGTTTTGTCCCTGGTTTTGTCCCTGTATCTCCTCTCCTGCTGCCCCTCCTCTCCTGTTGCACTCCTGTCTCCTTTTTGTACACGGGGATTATTTAGGGAAGAAAAGGGGAGGTGCGTATACACCCGACTGTTGTCTGGTGTATATATATATATATATATAATATAT